CCGGCTTCTCTGCTGTTGTCAAGTCTTGCCATTAGCTGATGCCACTGGGGAATCCTACCCTAGTGAGGTGGGTCTCCCTTGGGAGCATCAGGCACCACGTTACGTTCAGCCGCCACTCATGTGAACCCAAACATGTGAGCATAATTTGGAAAATATCATTTATACTGTGCGTCTTTGTACGTGTCTTGACATTTACAAACTGCGATAAAACCGACATGAGGGAGGAGGGAATAGAAAACAGGGCGAGAATAATTTGAGGTAATGTTTTGCTTAGTGAACAGTATTACCCAATCCTGGATGTTGGAGCTCTGGGAAGGAGGTTCTGGCTCTGGGGCTGCAGAGAGGGTCTGGGTTTCATTTTTCGGCAAGTGCAAGCCAAAGGAAAGCTGCCAAGTACAGCTTTCGCTCTCAACACTTCCTGCTCTTCCTACTCTGGCTCGGGAGGAGACAGGCTTCACTCAAACATCACGTCGACTCAGGCAGGGGTGGCCAGTTTATTCTCCAATTTCTCAATGGGCGTCAAAAAACTCACATCTGTCACATGAATTACACTGCGCGCGGCCATAAATAAAACGCTGAGATGGATATATTGTTAAATGAAAAGGTGTGTGCAGGTGTTTGCATGCGTGTGTAAACATAGAAAGAGAGCGTTTCCTACACAAGTTAACAGCTTTAAATGACTCACTGTGAAGCCTAAAAAAACATTGCAGTGCAGGTCCCACGGCTCAACGGTATAATGCAAAAAAATCCAGAAGGAACACCTGCAGCAATCAACTCTCTATCACAACAACAGTGACCCCATCCACTGCATCATTTTCATTATGGATGGTGGGAGCACAATGCTAGATTAACACCACGTACTGAGTGCCATCTTAATTGCCCCTCTACAGATGCAGTGAAAACATGTCATTTAGGTACTTCACGAACAGACTTCTCTTCGCAGGTTATCAAGACAGCCGCTCAGTGAAAACACACCCTCTTTTCCAATGCTGATGTGCAATTAAAATGGTTTTAGAAATCCTCTTTGACAGTCCAGGGCTTAGCCAAAAATGTAAATGACATTAAAGGAGACAATGAATTTAATTTTGTTTAATGTCCCCTTTCGCTGATTCTCATTTACATCACATTTCCACATAAAGGGCTGACCTTATAAATACTGGCATTTGTTCAGCTTTTGGAGGTAATCACGGTTTTGCAAAAACCAGATGGGAGCACACAAATTTTCCGATTTGTTTCTTAGAAGGCCGAGGGAACCACATGTGAGGCGTTCTAAGGCTGCAGTCTTTTGTTTCTGGTAAACAACTTGACAACAAGTCAAGTGCACTCTGGGAAATGACCTCGTAGGTGTTCCACAAATGAACGATAACGCAAAGTCATTTAGAAAATACAGGCTCGCTAATGAGGGACATAACGGAAAGCTAAGCAAAATTTACATTAGGCCAAAATTTAATCGCATTAACACACGAACAGGTGCGGTGAGGCCTTTATAAATGAGCTAAATGAATAAAAGCCTCCCACAGCACAACCATGTGTGCTGACCAAAAAAAAAAAAAAGAAAAGAGACAAGGGGAAAAAAATAAGGGAAAAAACAAGTCAATGTCATGAATTATTCAGTGGCTGGGCTGCACTCCAAAGGTCAGTGCTCTTTGACCTTTGTGACAGGAAGTGAAAGGGAGTGCCGTAGCCGCTGGAATAAATGGAGCTGACATGTTTAGCTGTGGTCCAGAATCCGTTTGTGAATGGCAGCGTAAATTGACACAAGATGTTAAACTGTATGAACATACATTAAATTCAGAATTCATACATGGGTAGAAAACACACTGATAACACATTCTCTCTCTCTCTCTCTGTCTTGATTCTCACTTGCATAAATTGCTCCAGCCTCTCTGAGCAAAATGTGACCTTTGAACCCTGACACGCAGAATGAGTCATTTTCTCTCCTCTTTCAACAACATGTGCTGTCTTATTACAAAATCCATGTGTAAGCCTGAACAATGTATCTAATCTTTCACACAAGAGAAGACAAAGTCAATATGCAAGAGAGTGAAGACAGATACCAGACCAGGAGAGTCATCGCAAATTGAGTTATGTTTGGCTATACACTACATGCACTGTAAATGGGAAAGCCATCTAATCAGATATTGGGTACCTCATCACTATAATTCTAAAGACTCAAATTACCGACTGAATAAACCTACACCCCCACTTACTTTAAGGCACCATTAACTTATAAATGTGACATCTGTAGCACTGCAGGATTTATAAAGGGGAGAGATGATTACACCAAACTGCAAAGTGATGCGGTCACAGCAAAAGTGCTGCAATTAGTTACTAGATAAATTTAGTGTTTCTTTTATTTAACATAAGCACCTACTGACTTTGATATTTTTTTTCTTGAAAAAGTATGCACACGCCATTGAAACACAATAGACTTTTTTTTTTGTGGAGCAAAATATGCACTGACTTTGTTAAAATTTGACTCATAACACATATAAACCCACCCAAATGCAACAAAAATAGGGCCTTTCTTCATCCAAAAAGGCGTATGAATAATGCAAGGGCATCAAATGTAAGTGCTGAAATATTTAAAGACCAAGCAGTGCTGAAACTTTGTGACAGCTGTTGGGCCTATATCTAACCAACTTCTTTTTTTTTTTTTTAAAGAGAATCCTTCCTCTTCAAAAATCTGAGTGAAAATCTGTATCAAAACTCTGAGAGAAAATAGGGTAAACAGATGTCTGGCTTGACCGCAGGAAAATAGGACACATTTGGAATGATAAGTTTCCCAAACTCCGTTGGATATGCCAGATCCATGGGAACGCCAGTTAATGTCTTGCTAGATGCCAGCTAGCTGTGTGCGCTTTCCCCTCTTACCATCTGGGAAAATGTTACAGCGAATGAACGCCATCAATGATTCACTCCAAATCTGTTTCTTAAGGTTCGGCCATGCTACTGTTTCTCTAGGAAATGTGGCAGTGCTAGCTGGTTTTCATACTGTAATTGTAGACAGATGAGACATGCCTGATTCAACAATCAAACCTCTCCTCTAGGTTTATGTCACTCAACTATGTTCTACTCAATTGGAAATAATCAGTTTCTGCCAGCAGCGACCGCAGCACAGGTGCCTGTAATGATGTGCATGAGAAAATGACAGATGTAACAGCAATGGCTGTAAAACATGGAAGCTTTAACTAAAAGCTTACACATATGCACAGCGGGAATAGTCAAGTAATTGCGGTAAATAGTCTTGCGTAGCGAGCCTACAGTGTGCTCTGGCCATGTCCGTAACTCTTGCTAAACCCTGCAACCTTTCACAGGCACCCCTCTCTGCAAGCCTCCTTCAGTCACTGGGAACCTGTGTGGGTCTGTTAGGGTGAGCTGACGGGCTCATAGTTACGACATGGAGACAATGGGAGGGTCTAATGAGGAACATATGCTTTTGTGTTTCAACAGAGCCGCTCATTGTGCAAGGAAAGGGATACTCTACTCCTATTCAGGCTCGTCACAATGAAAATCCGAGCCCTCCCTGAGCCAGTTGAGCTTACAATATCCATCCGCTTCTTTTTTCCCCTGTTCTTTTTTTTTCCCACCCCTCTTTCTTGACTTTAATTCTCCATGCATTCATTTTGCTTATTGTACTTATGTTACATGTTTTGTCCCGCAGATTGAAGAACAATGGTGTGCGAAACTCTAAGCAGTAAAAGGCAGCAGAGCGACACAAAGCAAACATGAAAGCGGCGGAAATTAAGCAAAGTAGACGTCTCAAGTTATATGTTAATGTTCGTGCTATCCTTCACTAGCAGATGCACATGACTAATAAATTAAGCAATCCCTCTGGTATCAGATAGGGAAAAAAAAAGAGCTGTATCCTGACATTGTCCTAAACACCTCAGTACTTTTTTTGTATACACTTTCACTGTCAAGCATAAAAGCATAAACAACATGTGTATGAGTATGTGTGTGTGTCGTGTTTGTGTCTCCGCGCGTGTGTGTGTGTGTGCATCTACGTGTGTCTGTGTGAGTTTGAGTTCAGACAGCAGTAGCTCTGGTAATCCATCCAGGCTCCCAGGGCAGCCAGCTCCTACTTCCTGATGCATGAGAAGCCGCTGGAGTGGAGTGGCAGCAACAACTGCTCAGCCCTATTTGATTACTAATAAGAGAGTTGTCCCCTCTGTCAGATACCAGGCATTCTCCACTAAGCAAACAGTGATTCCGGCTAGTCAAACATTAGCATTGCTGTCTCTCCCTACTACGTGGTGAGAGTTACATTGAGATCGACGATCAAACTACACCCCCTACCTCACCCCTATATCCACCACATACACACACACGCGCGCTAAACTACCTACACAAATTCACACTGACCAGGACACACAGTTTCGCAGTGTGAGAAAAAATGTCAATGCCTGTGAGGAGACCATTTATTCTCCCTCTTTAGAAGGTGATGAAGGTAATATAAATGTGGCAGATGTAACTTCCCTGAAGGTGCAGAACAAAACAGCAGACATAAAATGTTTATCCCTTCTAAAACGAAACTTTAATGGCATCTAGCTCACAGCGAACTTGAGAGAAGGAAACAGTCAATGAAAAACAACTATTGACAGTGTAAGCATCACTGTCGTAAACAAAGAAGGGAAGCCAGCCAAATAAATGTGAAGTTGCCTAAGCTAATTAGGTGTATTCCCAGCATGATCCTCTAGTGATTGAACCACCTGTGATTGAACAAACCCTATCCAGGTGGTGACCGCCCCTCGGTGCACAGGTACCTGGGAAAGACGCCCCTCAGCCACTCACACAGAATCACCCACAGTTCCCACACTGTGAGGCTATAAGATGCAAGTCAGCCCAACTGGGCCGTCTGGCACACCGGGAGGGAACTCATTTGTTCACTAGCTCATCCATGTGCCTGCTCATCCACTCAGTCACTCATCCATTTAGTCAAGACGCTCACTCATTCACTTTCTCATTCACAAACACAGAGGAAGCTGCACACGGCCTACCTGTCAATGATCACAGGGTCTGATGGAGTCTCGTTCCTGTTTCCACAGCTTTTCTTGTCACAGCATCGGCTATAGGAACACAGACAGAGTGTCTCAGAACAAGCAACACTTTGCTAAATAAATAAAAATAAATAAATAATGCACACAAACCCACATACATTTATTAAGTGCCTTGGAGTGGTTTTGATATCGGGGAGAAAAAAAAATTGCCATGAGATTTCCTTCACTCAATCTATCCGTTCCATTGATGCTGATGGCTGATAAAAATGGTGAAAACAACATGTTGTGTTGTTTGGCTTAGTGTTGGAGGGGAGGGGAGTGGGGATTGGGCCAGGAGGCAGGGGAGTCACTTTTCACAGCTTCAGCTTTTGTTTACCTCTAATTGCCAAGCTGCTATTTCTGAGGGAGATGCAAGGTGCCACCCTCAACCAATATTTCTGCAGGGCATTTATCAATTATGGCCTCAAAAGCACTAATCTATCTTCCACCACATGTTTCAGCCATCTCCTCCCTAAGCCTATAGCTAGCTGCCTCTCACTTCTTTGATTGGGACTTGAATCAAAAACTGCAAAAATAAACAAATACATCATCCTCGCTTCCATTTGAAATGAAAACATATAAACATATGTGAATAAGATTGATTTATGCCATATGGTGCGGAAAGAAAAACAAAGATTTTGTGCAAAGCTACTGTCAGTCAACCACACATTATTTAAATATGTCTGATTTACATGACTTTCTAGCAGCAGTAATAAAGATGTGTTTTATAGCTAAGGCGCTGCAGTGTATTAGAGCAAAAATATAATTCAAAAACTACACGTATCACACGCCTGGAAATTAAGACATAATAAGATATTAAAAGATTATTCTTATTACAACTGCTCTTATTATATTTATCTCCTTATGTGATAACAGGCAGCACTTAAAGTAGCTCTTTATTCAGCAGCAAAAAGCACTTCCTCTTGACACACAAAAAAAAAATATTACCTCTAGAGCACGAGCATATTCAACGTGTCACAAATAAGTGATGGATGCATGTATAAATTGAGCGTGAGTGATGAGTTTATGCATGGAAAAAGACAAATCATTCTCAGCTCTCATGCTGCACTTGCTCTCAACCAGTAACTTGAACAATGCACCGGTGCAACAAAGGAGAGGTTAACCGACAGTATCCAAATTCAATGTTCACAAAGCTCATGCTGAGCTCAACAATAACAACAAAAGGCGTTTTTCCTTTTAGTATCAATGACACCGCTGAATAGCAGCGCAATATGAGAGGTTGAGATTTATGTGGTTAAATGACGCTAAAAGGCTCGCTGATCATTGTTGACAGGTGGGATCAACCGAGAACTGACTCTGTGCTAAAAAGAGGTGGGGGGGTGGGGGTGGGGGGGAGCAAGAAAAAAAAACTGAAACATGGCATGCAACGCCTATGCATAACTTAACAGAAAACACATTGTCTCTGGCAGGCTTTAAATGATGACATGCGATTCTTAGCATATAAAAATAAATAAAGTAAAAATTAAAAAACATAACTTATGTACCGTGTCACTGGCTGTTTATTATACATTCAATTTGCCTTCACTGGAAAAGACAAGTCGGTTCATTCTCACTGTCATATTCGTATTCATATCAAAGTTGAATCATATCATATCAAAGTTGGAAATGACAGCAGCTCTCTCCCTCTCTGTCTACTCTCTGTCTCTCTCTGTCTCTGTGGCTGCTGAAGGACCACAGGACAGCCTGGATTGCTGCATCACATCATGAGTGTCAAAACTTATTGAAGGGGAGGGAATTACTTTTTGCCTGGATCTGCAAAATGGACAGAGCGAGAGAAAAAAAAATAATGCTTACCTGCACATAATTTCATGGGTAAGAAGAACTCTGCACATTTCTGGATTCTTGTCTTGGCCCTCATAAACTATGGCCTTTGAAAGGAAATGAGATGGAAATAAAGTGAAAACACAGTCATCTCTTAAACACATATTAATTCACATAAATTCACCAAAAAATTGGGCGGGTGTTTTTGCACTTAATAAAATAAATTAGAGTATGAACACACATGATCATGGGACAACAGAACATATTACATGAGCAAATGCAATGTAGGAAATTACAGTAATCACAGCACTATAAATTACATTTAATTTATATACACATCAACCTCAATAAACAATTACAAAAATAATGATAATAAGAGCAAGAGCAATATTTCTTGGGGCAGCAACAATAAAAAATCTCATTGTAAAATGAATGATTATGATGATAATAATAATAAATTGTATTTTTTTATTAATCTAGATAATATCCTGCGGCTCAGAGAGACAGACAGCGAAGGAGAGAGAGACAGAGAGATTTTCATAAGGAGAGATCCAATAGAAGTGTCATCAATATGCTTATAATCTGGGGATATTTGGGGGAAAGTGTTAATGGGCAATCTGTTGTTTATTTTGAGCCGCTAACAATGATCTTTCTGTGGATAAAAAGCGGTGTCTGGCGGTACGGTTGAGTAATTTTTGAGCATTGGCTGAAACAGATGGCGTGGAGCTATCAGTTCTGCCGCTCTTCTCTCCCTCCCTCGATCCCTCCCTCCTTCTTCCATTTCTAAGGATAGACACTTCACTCCCTCGTATACTGAACCGGCACCAAGTGCAAAACGCAGGCAAAGCACCACATTATTGACAAAATACTGCTTTTAATAAAAATATAAAAAACAAATAAATAAACAGCGAGGCTTTTCTGTCATGTTTTGATGACATTGTTAATTTTTTTTTTTTTTTTTTGGCACGCGTAAATCCAATATGAGAGAGTGACTTTGAAAAAGTGACATATCTGAACCAGGTCGCATCACTCTCTGCTTTTAAAAGCTGTCCTACTTGACCTGATGTTTTTTTCCCTTCTTCTTCTCTTCTTTTTTTGTGCTAGGAACCGGGCGATTATCTATATTGGTTTGATTTATGTCGCAGTTTGCAGCTGTAGAAACAGAAATCCATAAATTGCTTGTTCTGCGTCATTGACTCGGATCATTCGCACAGGAATGTTGTCTGTGACCAGTGGCCCAGGGTTTCACGGCTCTATTCAAGGAAGGCTGCGGCTAAACCCTCGATTTAATACCAAAACACGAGGTGGAGAGCTGAAATAAGTGCGTCTGATTTTATTCCCCGAATTATAATTAACTTTGCAAATCTTTGCGTTGGTTCGAGACGCGCGTAAAGACTTAATAATGACGTTTTACGCGCAGGGCTCTGGGTTGAAAAGTCACTCAAATGTTTGTTAAGTGAAATGCACCTCAGAGAAAAAATATATTAATATTTATATCTATAAATATAATACTTAATGCAAATTTTTAAAATGTGTTTAGAGCGTCACCTCTGACACTTTGCAGGAAAAGTCAAATCTGATCATATGGAGCAGACGTGGTGTTTAAATTTTAATGTGAGCCTACATAGGAGCCCAAAATTGACTTTGGAGTCTTGCAATATGATATGGCCAAACGTAAACAGTCAAAATGGAAGCTGTCTCGTCTTGTTACATCGATAATTTGATTTTGTGCCACAACTTGCATTTTGCAAGCAGCACGTTATTTTATTTTTTTTAAACCGTGTGTTGCATGCATCTCAGGGGTGACGATTTGCACGGCGTGCTATAGGGTTTTGCACAAGTAAGCCATGGATTTTTTTTATTTTTTTTTTGCAACTGTGTGCGTAGAAACAAGTGTAACAGCAGCTTACCTGCTTCGTCATGGAATCGATTAACCGTATGTAAAGATCCTGTTCTGTTCTGACGCCTGGGGAGAAGAGGAAGAAGAGCAGTTGTGAGTTTTGAGGAATTGTGGGAAATATTTTAAGAGAGAAAGAGGGGGGGGGAAAGTTTGTGAACATGTGATTAAAAATATAAAGTTCGCACATTGTTACATTTATAAAATTATCACACTGCTTTTATTGTTATTATTTATAATATTATCAGTATTTTTATTGATGGTGTTGTGCAGACAAACTGCTCACACAAAATGTTTGTGTGTGCACGTGTCTGCAAAAATATTAAAGACACTTGAACTCACCATTGCTGTACAATAACTGTAGTTTGTAATGTATCCCATTGTTAGTTTTTTCACTGGTTGGTTCCTGCAGGAGACAACAGTTTGTGAAAATCAACACCAGCACAACAACTGCTCATCACCACCACATGTCTGTGTGTTGACAAAAAATATTTACGTGCAAAAAGCAGAGGAAAACTGGTGACTCTCTGTCATCAACGAATTGAGTTTTATAAAAAAAAAAAAAAAAATCAATATTACACGTGACTTCCCCTTTTACTAGCCCATTGCCATTTCAGTGAACATAATTTCGATACATGTGCTGATTATGTACAGGGGGGGTGCACGTATATTTTTCTAAAAATACACCGCTTACTTTTTCTTTCTCCACAAAGTCCACAAAAGCTGTCCTTTCGATCTCCACGGGCTGACCCTGTCTGTCATACAGCGCCAGGACGAAATGGAAAAAATTGGATTTTCTGAGGTTGGAAGGGGGCTGCTTTTCATAATGTGCCCGTGCCAAGCCGACACCGCTGCGGGGAGAAAACAAGAGACCATCTCGGTTAAGCACCGGACACCGGGGATACTAGATGATGGAGAAGCTGATGGAAACATTGGAGATGCAGAAGCACGCTTGAGTACGGGGGAGATTTCTTGATTTGTCACAATAATGGGTAATCTGATGTAATGAAAGAAGGGAAAGCCGAAGGGGGGGCATTTATTGGGAGACCGTAATTGATACAGAGTATTCAGGGGATTGAGGGGTCGATATGATGAGGAGGGAATGCGTGAGAAAAATCAGATGCTTTTGGCATGCGTACCTTTGGGCGGCTGTGTTTGCATCCACCACCCCAGCTGTGTGCATCCAGGAGCGGACCGAGTTCAGTCCACCGAGCGGTTCCTCCTTCATCGTCGTCCCACCCCGCGGTATAGTTTCCTGAATTCCAAACATTTAGGACAATTTGCGTGAAAAAAGAGCCTCCTGCGAAATTAGGGAAATAAACGTCCAAGCGTGTTATCCTTTAGGGTTGTTTTTTTTTCACGGGATAAGTAGCGAGAGCCGATTCAGACTTGCGAGGGAAAACCCGGTCCACAGGTCTTGCCTCCCTCTTCAGTCCGTCCGATGTGAACAATTCTCAAAGTGCTGTACTTAGTTAGAGCGGTATCCACAGACTGGAAAAGTGAATTGTTCAATAGACAAGATTTTTTTTGTGTTGCTATTGTTCCTCTTTGTTTTTCTCTCTCTTTTTTTGTGCTATTCACAGAAAAATCGATGGCAGTTGTTTGTGTTTGTGGGTGATGCTGCTCTCAAAGTGCCCACATCCCTGAAGCACCGCATCCAAAACCTTCAGGACTTCTTGTTGAATAAAAAACCCACTCCTGAAAAAGGTGCTGCTGCTTCTCCACAAGACAAACACAGGCAAAGGCTGATCACCAGTGGAGGTGTTCCTAGTACACAGGAGAGGTGGATAAGGGGCCCTTTCGCGTCGTGCAGGATGGATGGGAACATGCAAAACTAAGCCCTCTTTCCCCGAGGACTGAAATCTTTCCCGGGAGCCAAAACTCTAAACCCACGGGAGAGGCGCTGTCAGAATATGACGCTGAAGGGGCGTGGTTTTGCCCAAATATGGAGCTCTGACGGTTCCTGTCAAGCAGTGGCGCTCCTCTGTACGGGTACAGCCCTATAGTGCAGCAGGCTGAGAACACTCATTCGCTCCACTTTTCCTCTTGCTTAGGCCCTATATGTGGTGAGTTTGATTTTTTTAATGATATGGAAAATTCAACCGGGTGTAACCATCACACATAATGAGGAAAAAAAAAAACAATAACTCGAAATTCATTGCTTATATTATTTTTTTTAGCTGACCTAATAATTGCAATTTGCGTGGTTACTTTTATTATATTGGATTAAAATTAATAGTATTTGACATATTTATTCGATTAAATTTGTTATCATTATTGCAAGTTGGCCGGACGAGATTGTTAGTGCACTAATGTATCGAAAGCATCTCAATAGCGTTTCGTGAATACAGGCCATAAATCATATTTCAATAATGGCAGATCATGTTTCTTCATATATATTTCTATTGTGCATTTTTAACTCTACGCTGCGGGTTGTTTTTTTTATTGTAATTAAAATGCAATTAATCTGATGCTGATTTCAGAGAATCAGACATGATTATAAATATTAATTTACATTAACTTTTCATTGAGTTTTTTTTTTTTTTGTAACATCATGATGATTGACGGTCAATTGTTTTTGCTGTGTATCGCCGAGCAGAGGATTTTCTTTATTTATAGCGGTGAGCATTAAATATGAACAAAGTTTTGGAAATCAGTATCCTTATTATTAATGTGAAAACAAATCACATCGCTGTGCCATTTTTTTTTTTTTTTACAGAAAGTCAGATCTCCTGACATCTTTTTATGGGCTAAAAAAATCAGAGCCACAGTGTCTCATGACATTAAAACAAACTTCAGGAAAAAAATCCCTGGTTCTGTGTCTTCTTTATTTCATGCACGTCCTGTAAAATCAGTAATAATCAGACACATCTTAATCATTTTTAAAAGAGCTCAACTGCCTTACATGTCCGACTCTGTCCGAGAGGGGCAAGCAAGCAATTCGGTTCATTAGTGGTGAAAAGGAGGAGAGGATGGAGGGAGAGAGGGGAGGGTGCGAGGAAGAGAGATGTGTGCTATATCCTGAGCAATCTATCTAGCTGGTGCTGAGGGTTAATAGCTGCTGCCAAAGATAAGTGAATTATAAGCTGTTGCTTTCACCTCTACACAATCTATTGCCAAATTGCCCAGTCACAAAATGAGGGTGGATTTTTTTGACTTTTTTATTATTAAAGAGAAATCCAAGTTTCAATTTGTGCAGAAAAAAAAATCAGGAAACTCAAAAGGGCCCCTTTGTAAAAAATGTTATCTTTTTTTTCCTCTTACATGAAACAAACCGAGACGCATGTTGTAAATGTTTTGTCTGTTCTACCGAGATTGCAAATATCTTTTTTGCACAGAACTCACTCTGCTTTTTTTTGTGCACAGTTTCAAGTCGCTTATTAGAACTTAACCCCTGATTACACGCACCAAGGCGATTTAAATCTGATTATCAAATTAGGAGACTTTGAGACAAATCCTCTTAGATCTGATACTGTTGACTGGAGAAGGAAAATGGATCTCCACACCCGTCACGTAGGTAACGATGCTGTCCTGAAAGGGAGTTTTAAACCGTATTTGACAACAAATGCAGCTGCCCCGCTATTTCAGAAGATATTAGAGGAAAATGAATGCAAATCTGTGTGCAGGAGCCATCTGGACGTGGAGAGAGGGAGTCAGCTGCTCCACACACTGAGGCGCGGAGCCTGAATCCGTCTCAGCTCATTCTGTGGGATCATCTGCGTGGTGGGCTTACACCGTGGAAAATGCGCTCTCCATCATTAGGTGAAATGTTAGCATCAAAATAAAAGAAAATGTTGATCCCCGTTTGTTTTAGTGCTTGCGTGCATGAAAACTTTGCACGGGCGTGGAATTAAAGGATCTTAGTCACATTTTCTTATTCCTCACTTCTGTAAAAAGAAAAAATAATAAAGCTTTGTTTCTCAGCTGCACGCTGGAGGTAAGTGATGGGTGACAAGCAGGCAAACAAGTGCAAAGTGTTTGCCTCATGTCTGCATCTTGGCCGCACTGAGCCCAGGCTGAATGCTCGTTTAAATGACCGCTTGATGACACGGGGGCCTGTTATCTCATTCTTCTATTCAGTGGCCACAATGAATGAACCCCCAAAGATTTGGGCCTGGCCATTGATATAAAAAACCAAACTCCTCGGGACGCGTGGCTCCCAATAAAAATGTACACGGTGACTTCGAAGACCTCCCGTCTCGACGGGACGAGCCTCCTCCGTATTGAGGGTGACGTCTTCTTTTTTGTGTGAATTTACGGGGCGAGGCCCTCATGATCTCCTTAAATTTGCATGTAAATGGCGACATCAGCCTATACGCGTGCCAGGGGCCAGCGGGCCTCCCAGATGTCAAGGCAAAGTCAATCAGCCGGCCGCTGCCCAGCTGTCCATCGATGCACTTTATTGGGACAACACTTTCATTATGCTCACCTGCATTGTTTCCTAATGAATTGATTGGCAAAAAAAAGAAGAAGGGGAAAAGAAATCTTATTAGCACTCACCGTGCAAGTTCGCTCACGTCTTTATCACAGAGGTTGTTTTAAAGTGATCTTTTTGTCGATTAAATATTAATCAAATACGCCTACAGTTACGCATCACTCCTAACTCCATATGGAACAAATAGTCAGGCAGCCCACTTATTGTTTACTGCAACTCATATATTATTCTGTTGTTTGGACGTTTAATATTTCGTGTATATGCTTGAACTTAGTATTTATTTATTTATTATTTATTTATGGTGCAAACGCGTAAAAAACAATTTCACATTTATTGTTAGATTTACTTTTAAAATTCACATCACTTGTAGCTATTTTTAAAAAACCTTTTCACTTGTGCATTGTGTTTTTTCTCATAAGTGTATAAAATTAGAGAATATTTTAAATTATTACATTAAAAAAAATAAATGAGTAAAATTACAAAAACCAGCATTTTGCAAACTTTCTTTAAAGCAGCTATCAGGCCCTAATAACTGCACGTGCGTCACTCTGAGTGACATATTCAAATATCATATTAAAATACAGTTTGCACGTTATTTTTTATTTTAATTACAAGGGGGGTAAAGCACAAATGGCCACGAGTGATGAGATCAATCACGTAGGCTATTCGTGTCAAGTAGTTATAGCTGATAGACGGACAGCGCCCCTCGTTGGTTACACTTGAGATCATTGTGTCGATATGAGGCAGCTGTGTTCCTCTGTGACAAGATAGCTAAATCTCAACATAGGTTTATCTAACACCCCCCCTCCTCCCTGGCTCCCCCCCGGGCGGCTAGAAAACGGGTGTTTATGTTTAGGGATAAATTATCTCAAATATTAAAACAACATTTTTTAGCGAGAGGATTGTTATTTTAAAAAATGACCACAGGATTAAAAGATTTAATTAAATGGAAATACATATTTATAGAGGTAAAATACTAAGAGGAGCAGAGCGCCTTCTTGTTTTCCTGTCACATTATTATTATAATAATTATTATTACTGATATTATTAATATTTGTAGTGGATAGAGTATAATCCATGTTTATTGTGTCAAACAAACACACGCACATTATCTGACACGCAGCTGCTGTGACCTCACATTTCGTCACTAACTTCTGTCAGAGTGCTCATGTTAATTGTGTGCAGTGGTGAGTTCTGTCAAGGGCATTGCCCGTGCGCACAATTTGCATTTCCATTCTGCTGTGGAAATGATGAGAGAGTTTCTGCGCGGTTTAGAGCCTCGCGGCGCAGTCTGTGGGCGAATTACATTTAAAGAAGGCGAGAGAAATTAAATAAGAAACCGAGACCACTTCAGGGCTATTAACATCTAAAATATCCCCTGGAAATTTAGACCAAAAAATGCACATGACCAAATATCCAGCATACCTTCGCTCCCATGCAAAGCGCGCCCCCCCCGTCTTGATGGTGTCCATCATCTTTGTATGGGGGCCCTGTCTAAAATATTCCTTATTTAAAAAAGTTATCACGCCGCCTCACATTTCTCTGTGGCATTGATGGAAGTGAGGTAAATGTGATTATTCAGCTCTAAATCGGAACATATTAACTTAAAATATAGGCGCCCTGGTACCAAACGGGACTGTGACACTCAGGGAAAAAACGGGTGCACAAATCTGACTTTAAAGGTCATTTAAAAATCTCATCAGTAAGTATGATATAGGCACATGTTGCACCGGGCAATGTGGCCTCCAAAAAACGGGAGGCATCAGCTTTAACCTTGTTTTTTTCTATTTTTTTAGAGCGCATGTGCGTGTGCATGGCCACACAGGCAGCAGCCT